ACTCGTTGCAGCGCTGAAGCTTTCTCATGCCCGGGTTACAGCCCACGATCCCTAAATCACGGACGATCCAAAATAGGATGTTTAATTTCTTTTTGAAAAATTTATGAAATCCTCAATTTGAGTTCATACTTACCCGAGAGTATGTCTGAATCCCCATTGAAAAGGCTCTGATACCCACTTGTAATGTACCTAAAATCATGACATATAAACTTTTGTTTTTAGATTAATTAATTGTTAATACATATCTTTCTCATAAAACCAAGGTAAGAAAGAGTTAGAAAAAAACATCATCAAATCAAAGTAATTCACAGAATGCGGAAGCATATGGTGTTTGCCCTGCAATTTTCTTGAGCTCTTTTATTTGAAGACCGGATTACCAGAAACATAAACTGAAAACCGTAAGCACCAAGCTTAGTGAGTTCCTAAAAAAATACCATATAACATACAGTCATTGAATATCATGCAACATACATATACTTGACATGGGCTCCCCCATGGTCTTGACCTGGAATCCAATAAGCTCCCCCAAATGGTCTGATATCCAAATACCATGAGCTCCCCTTATGGTCTTTACCTAGAATGCCATGGGCTCTCCCCGTGGTGTGATATCCAATTACCATGGGCTCCCCAAAGACAACTAGCATACCACAAAATACATAATGGGCTGACATTGATTCCTTCGACCCATGAATATAGTGAGAAGATTCACCTCGCACTGCCGAATCAAAAAGAAAATCTCTGGTTGCTGGCTGACAGATCCCCGAACTAACAAAGTCAAAACAACTCCCAATCAATAATCGGGTTCCAATCAATAACCATAAATCGATTACAAGGGTAAATGACCAATTTACCCCTTACCTAGTTTTGACCAAGAATTAGGTCCAAACCTAATAATCCAAAAGGCCCAAATACCAATAACCAACCAAGGCCCAACCCATGGCCCAATTTTCCAAATTGGGCCCAAACCTATTGTAGGTCTTCTCAAGATAATTATCTGCCCAAAAGAAACAACTCAACCCAACTGAATCCACTACCAAAATAGTGCATGTCCAAAAATCCCAATTCCCATCTAATCAGACATACGCACATCGTACATGGCTTGTACACACGACGTACGTTGCCGGTCCCAAAACAAGTATCATAGCTAGAACACGAGGTGTTCCCCAGCATTCCCGACAGCCACCCAAAAGTCATTACAATGACTTAATCCTTAGCCAAACTTCCAAAACGTTATAATAGCTAAATACAAGTGACTTGATCCATAAAGTCGAAGGCCTTAAGGCTTTACATGGCAAAATGAAGTCAAACACCAAAGATGAATCTCAAAGGTCAAAATCACCCAAAAATATCTTAAAAACATTGTAATACCTTAAGACCTCAATCCAAACTTGCAGATCTGATTTCAAGGGACTTCTTAAGTCATAAGGTTTCCAACTTTATGACTTAACATAACTCAATGGGATCCAAATCAAATCCCTAAGTCCCAAACTTCATCAAATGACTACCAAATCATGCATGGAAGGTTTATACCCATTAGTATCCAAACTTTATGAATCCATAACCTCAACAAGGACCAACTATGAAGCTCAAAGGTTCTGGAGTAACTTCTACTCACAAGAACCACCATAAAGTGAAAAAAACCATAACAAAATACCACTTAGCTAGATCTACATGAAAGAGGTTACAAGGTTGAGACTTTATACCTCCAGAAGATAGATCTATGTGCATAAAGCCTGGATCCAAAAGCTCCAAGTCAAGCAATGACTCTTCAAGAAGTTCCTCCATCTTCCTCAAGCACCAAAAACACACTTAAATCACCTTGAAGCTCTAGAATCACTTAAATGGAGGCTAGCGTTTCGTTCTTAGGATTAGACAGGATGCAAGTTCAAGGAAATGAGGGATGGAGGTGAGTTAAGGTCTTTAAATTGGGTCCAAGACCCTAAATTAGAGTTGTAATCTGGCCTGACGAATGCAATGCGTTCCCATAGGGAACGGAGGGCTTTCCTAAATGCACCCGTGTCCAAATTCTCGTGTACGCCCTGCGTACCTCCCTTGTACGCTATGCGTACCCGTTTTGTCCCAACACTCCTCTAACTTCAAATGGTCATAACTTTTGCATCCCTTATCCGTTTTCGATGGTCTTTATATCCACGAAAAAGTAACGAGAAGACCTACACATCTATAAACTTTATTTACTTTGAAAACCAACCAAAGTTAAATAAACGGAATACTCTAATCATCCAAACTACATTATCCACCTCCAAATGAGACCAAACTCAATTCTTCAAGGGTTCTAAGTCTGCTAATACCCACTCCTTGATCACAATGCTGCAATAGGAAACGATTCGAAACACAACGTTACATGGAACTGAAATAAAAAGAATAAATATAGCATATTATGTACTAACTCAGTAATAGTCTTGATCTTTCCATCTGTGACAATCTTAATCTTAAGCTACTTTGCATTCTCCGTCACAAGCTTAAACTCTCCGGGCATTGTGAATAAGTTGGTTAAGAAAATATGAATTATGTAAATTAACATTACATTATAGCAATCTAATGTACCTAGGACTTGTCTAAAAGTACAACAAACATTACTATGGACAATGAATACTAAAGTGACAAGTCTGAGATGTTTCAATTGTGGTAAGTTGATCCACGTTCATACTAATTGCCCACAAAAGAACCGTACTTGTTATTGTTGTGAAGTTTTGGGCCACCGACAACATGAATGTCGATGTATTAAACGTGATGAAAGCAAAGCGCCAATACAAAGACCAATGATGGGTAGTACCTTAAATCAAAATAAGGAGGTACCCAAGGCATGTGCTCAAGCTTTTCAGATTACCGTTGAGGAGGCTTGTAATGATTCAGACGATGTGACTAGTATTTTCTTTATGAATTCTCGACCTATAAGTATTTTATTTGATTATGGAGCAACCAACTTTTTTGTATCACATCATTATGTTTGTTTCTTGGAATGTGTCTTTCATGCTTCTAAAACCATTTATACTGTAAGTACGAATAATGGTGTCATTTTGGTAGCTAATAGAGTTGATAAAAATTGCACTCTAGTATTGGAAATCATAACTTTTCGGTAGATTTGATACCTATTAATATATGTGGCTTTGATATCGTGATTATGATAGATTGGTTAGTGAAGAATTACGAAGATATCATATGTTCTCACAGGTAGATTTAGATACCAGTTGAGAATGAAGAGTACTTCTACAGTTATGGAAGAAAAATCTAAACAACATAGCTTGTAGTATGTTTGACAAAACGAGCTAATAGCGGATATCTTATAGCGTTTTGTTAAAAACTACGTGATGTAGTTTTTAGATTTAAATCGTTTTGTTTAAACTAAACGCTAAAAGTTTTTTGTATCAAACCAGGTTTTTTATTTAAAACAAAGAATTTTATCAAACGTTAGAAATTAAAAGTTTTCAAATACTCTCAAACATTTCAGGTCAAAGACCCCTGTATTAAAGTAATGAAGGAAATATATCAATAAAAATATTAATACCTCTTTACTTCAATTTTAAAACCTACATCTAAAAACCCTTTATTTAACATAATCATAGTTGTTGTAATTATGATTATTAAATACTTGGTCAATGTACACCAATTTGCATGGTCCTACGTTATATACGATATCTTTGATGGTAGATACCAAAATTCCCATTATATTTTGATTTTGTTTCTTTTTCATTATTTAACATAAAATTGGTCGCTTTCACAAAATGTTAAAAGTACAATTCCATATATACCCCTAGAAATATCAAACCTTAAACAAAACAAGGTAATGGAGGGCAGTTAAGTCAAAGAAATTGTTTGGGTATTTCAGTAAATAGCTATCCGATAATGAGATCTCCTCCTTGTCCCCACGTCATAATCATGAAGATATGGGAAAGTGATGTTTGATATTCTCGACTTCCCTATTTTTATAAAAAAAATTCGAGGGCAATCTGGGTAGTGGGTACGAAAATATACTTTCATATATTCCATGCTATGTTTGAAAATATTTATTTATTCTGTTAATTGAAAAAATATATATATACAAAAAAAAAAAAGTTTATTACAATATCAATATCAAGATTCAAGGTTATGTCATTTAAACGACTTGAATCCATGGTATTATTTTTATAGAATTTGACATATTCAGTTAGATATAAATTGTATATATATAATTTCAGATTCATGAAATTAACTTTATTTAGTTCATCTATTTCTTTCAGTTGTCTAAGAAAAATACTAATAAAACATATAAACGAAGAACAAGATAAGGTGCTAATCCTTTCATCTTGCAAAAAAGCTTAAAGCTACAATTATTGTTTTGCAACATTTGGCTTTTTAAGAAGTTTCTATGTCTAGAGTTGTTTATGGATATGTATTTTAAAAATAATTATGTGAAATTAAATTATACAGTCAATTATATGCTTAAGTTTAAGAGTATATTAAGTGTGTTTTGCAAAATTAGTTAACAGTTGAAATATGTAGTTTTTTATTTACAAAACTAAAAATTTGGTTTTTATGGTTTGCAATAAATCGTGGATAAGGTTCAAAAAGTTTATAAGTTACATAGATGGTCTAAAATCAAAATATTTTTATGATTTTGGTCAAAAAAAACTTTGAAAGTACATTTTTGTCATTTTCATTTCTTTTCTACATTTTTTAATACTTTATTAATTTAATAAAAATGAAAAATAAAAAAAAAGTCATCCCATCCCCATAGGTACTCTCTCTCTCTCTCTCTCTCATTATTTCGTTCAAAAACTACTCGTCCGTCACATCCGACCAGCCACCACCAAATAAGATGAAATAACATTAAAAAAATTACTTCATAATCAAAGATAAAAAAAAAAATCTATTGAAATGAACAAAACCAAACCAAACCAAAATCAAATATCCATCCATAAAATGGTTACACTCTCCCTTCGTAGCCAACAGACCACCACTAAAACCCTTGAACATTAGATCGTTAGAGACAGATAGATAGAATGGTATGTGAATGTGATGTATGGATCGTACAACCTTTTTATACTTCAGTTCACTTGGCTCATCTTTGCTTCAAACTTATGCCTCCCTTTGATTCATTTTTATTCATCAACACCGTGACCTTTATGTTGCAGAGCTTCCACAAGGAGAAATCTCTCCCATTTTCTCATAACACCACATATGACCCACCGCTACCACCAGCCGCAGTTAGAATGCATCGAAGGATCTCCTCAATGACCTTTCAGATCCAACCACCAATAATGTTAGACACAACCGCATGGGTCATGGGCGTTAGGCATCTCCAAATCAGTATCTTCAATGGGGAATCGGCATCCACATCCATCAGGAACTGGTAGGATCGTGACTGGGGATTGATCCTTCCCATAAAATCAGTACTCGCACAGGATCTGGAGTTGAATCGAGAGGAAGTTTTCATCCTCGTTGCCATGACAAAGGTAGATTAAAACAAATATGACAAGTTCATCGGATCTGAAAAGTCGGACTTCCTCAGATCATTAGTTCAAATTCCTATAGTTCCGTCATTTTAGAAGATGAAGAATATTAAGTTGGGGAAGATAAAGAGATAGAGAGAGAGAGAGAGAGGGAGAAAAGAGTCGTTCCAAAATTAGATCTTCTGCTAGTTCCTCCATACATCGATTTGTGTGTGTTTATGTTAATCGTCAATCCGGAAAACCTAGAAATCAATTTATTTCTTCCTGATGCCACTGAATTGTGATAAGTTTGATTTGAAGGTGGGGGTGAGGAAGAAGAATATAAGCAAGAGAGTTGATAGAGAAAGGGGGAGTCGGTTACCATTGGGTTTTTTCTTTTACTTTTTTTTTGTTATAATTTTAATGAAATGTTAAAATAAATCAACAAAAATGTAAAAGAAGAAATAATAAAGGAAAAATTATCTTTTCAGGTTTTCCAAGGACCAAAACTACAATAATATTTTAATTTTAGGACCAAAATCACATAAATATTTTGATTTTGAACCTTTCATGCAAGTCAGAAACTTTTGAACCTTATCCACATTTTTTTGCTAACCATATGGACCTATTTTGCCGTTTTTCTTTTTTATTTGTTATATAGATGTTTGATAAAAGTAGTGGAAGCTTTATAATTTATATAAAATTATATAAAATGATAATTGTTTTAATATATATATATATATATATATATATATATGTGTGTGTGTGTGTGTGTGTGTGTGTTTGTAATTCTAGAAATAGATTAAAATATCAATAACTTTTCTTAAATATTACATGAAATAGCTTTTAGATTTGAAACGTTTTATTTAAACTAAAAGTCAAAACGCTCGCATACATAAACAAAGTTTTTTGTTTAAATCTAAATACTAGAAACTCTCAATTGCTCTTTGCTAAATACGTCCATAGTACTTAGATCCATAGCAAATTGCTGAAATCCTCTCTATGAATTACTTCAAATTTTACATTTTTTTTTAATTTGGACCGTCCGTGTAAAATTATTTTTTCATTGTTTTTGTATGTACTATACATGAAAAGGCTATATTGTCCTATTTTAATTTTTGTTAGTTTTATTTTTATTTTTATTTTACAAAAATAAGATGAGTTCATATACATCTCTTATCCATTCCCTCAATTCTCTTATCATAGGAAACCATCTCTAACCACCTCTACTTGCCGACCACCATTTTTAACTGCATCTTCGACTACCACCATTCCCCTTTATTTCTTCACGTCACCTAAAAAAAGAGACTTTCAACGTCATCATCTACTAAAGTCTTAGTACCTGAAAGTGAACCTCTAGCAATCACCCAACATGTTCCGAGATCAGCCTCAGTTCCGAAGTGAAAGGAGTTCCAAGTAGATAGAGAAGAAGATTTTGTGTCAGGAGTAAAAGCTCATGTTCTGTAGTCAATGAAGTTCGAGATGGTGAAGATGTTCCGAAATCAGTCTATCCGTCTACATTTGTTACTTTTATCATTTTGCTTGATGTAACGTATCATAGAATTTAGTATCTTTTGTCAACTTAGATAATCACAGTGTCATGAGTAACTCTATTATCCGGTTCTATGAATGTTTTTGAGTTAGTACCATGTAACACATTATCCTACTTAAGGAGCATTCAATTACAAATCAAAGTGACGGATTGCTTCACCAAAGATAGATATTTTTACATTTATTTCACTTGCATACTTCGCTAATATCAAATCTTTCAAACATTCTTCTTGATCATTTAACTTCTTTACTTTGATCAATAACTTCTTACTTTATGAATTGAAGACTTTGTTGAATCATTAACTTCAAGTCTTGACAGGTCAAACCAGACTTGATTGGAACATCCGTTTAGTAGCAGACATTTATCTAAAGCATTAACTCAACGTTTGAGTTTTCAAACCTTATTCCTACACAATCAGGTCCTTGTTATCACAATTGGTATCATAGCTTGAGTGGTTTTCCTTTGAATCCATAATAATAGATTATAGTTGATTCGAGATTACCTTGGTATTTCGATCATTTCTGTGTTTAGGATAAAAATTCTTCTACATACCACTTATGCTCAAGATATCTTAACTTCAATGGCTGCTTCTAACACTCAACAAATGTATTAAATGCATATAGAATATAGCGTGGGTTTCCCTACACATGCGCCACTGCTAGTTGTTGAAGAGTATGATCATTGGAAAGTCAGAATGGAAAGATTTTTACTTGGAACAGAAAAAGGGTGATTCTATCTGGAGATCCTTCATAGAAGGTCCTCATGTTCCAGTCCAAACCGTTGTAAGAGATGTTGCTGCAGTTCTCTTGGGACAGGACCAACAACGACAAGCACCTCTCACTACTGATCATCTTGAAAAGATGCATACAGATCAAGCTGCCTTTTTCGAAATGGTGTTTGGTGTTCCACCTTCTCTCTTTGATCACATCAAACTATGCAAGTCTGCAAAAGAGATTTAGGATACACTTCAAGATTTGTTCGAAGGGTTAGAAAACATGAAGGACAAGTAACTAACCTCTGTTGTCAATGAGTTCGATACTTTCACCACAACACCTGGTGAATATGTTGCTTTTGCCTCAAACAGATATCGAATTGTTTTCAACAACATGACTGCTCATGGAATAACCCGAACCCCACTTGAATACAACCTCAAGTTTATTAATAGTCTTGGAAAGGGATGGGGAAATGTGAAATCATGACTTCAAATCAATAGGTATTTGAAAAAGTTGAAGCTCTACCAACTTTTTGATGAGCTTCAAGGTCATAAATCAAATGTTGCATAAACGCTGCCCGAACTCAATGGAGGGCCACTAACTCTAGTCAGTTCCTTCGAACCACAACCTCCAAACCTTACTATTGCAAACCCTTTCTCTATTGCATTTCCACATATTCCTTCTGTTCAACCCCCACCTCAAACCATACATGTTCCCACTACTACCAGCTATCAACTAATGGACTCCGATCTCTGCTTCCAACAGGAGTTTGCTTTACTTTCCATCAAATACAACCGTCCTTAGAACAAGCCATATAACAATCATTTCCAAGCTTCTCACCAAAACAACCGCTTCCATACCCCTCACCAAAACAATCCTCAACCTTTCAATAAACCTTTCGAAAACCTACCTTCCTACAAACCTATCCTTCCTACACAATATCACACCTTAGAGTCATTACAGACTCTAAAGTTCAAAAAACCCAAGATTGTATGCCATAAATGCAGACATGCAAATCACTTTGCAAAAGACTGCCTAGCCGAAGTTCCACACAAACCCAAGATTAAATACTCTGCTTACTATGCACGTCGTGCTCAAGAACTAGCGAAGAGTGAAAAGGATTTGGTTACCACTTTATCAAGGAATCTAGAAGGGTATTGGTCATCTGGAGATGATGATGACGTAACCACTAGAAGGAACATGTGTCTTATGGCTCGATAGGAAACAGAATGTGATGAAGGCTACTGGTTATCTGGATCAGAAAGACATGATGAAGATGCTGAGCCAAACTACTGCTACATGGCTACCAATAATCCATCTGGCAGAAGCATCATTTAACAGGTAAAATCTATGATTACTAATAATAATTTTAACTTATCTCTTTATGGACCATGTCTAACCCAGATCCAATCAGACATGAACGCCATTTACAAAGCAGATGAGTCAGCCATAGAAGCCAGTGAAAAGATGGACAATGAATTAAATTGTCTTAGATTATGTTTTGAGGATAAGAAGTTCAAAATAGAGTCTTTAGAACGAGAGCTTGTAATGTCACAAGATGAATGTATCATTCTTAAAGACAAATGTGAAATCACTTATTTTGAAAGAAATGTTTTAAATTCTGACAATAAACGTCTAAATGATAAAATAGATGATTTTCACAATTTCATTGATATTCTGGAAGCAAATGAATGGAGGACTCACAATTTTCGTCATCCTTGGTCAACAGCTCCTGGTCTCAGAAGCGAGTTTCTGAAACCAATTGTTAGTCCCTTGAAGGAGTTACAAAATCTAAGTTTTATGGGAGACGTTATGTGTTGGATTAATGTCTAAGTCTATAACTATAATTGGTAAGACATGACCCGACCCTGCATGGTCCATTTGGGTTGCATGGCATCGGGACAATTGGATTGACAAGATAAGGAAAAAGGATACTAGTGATTTATATTAATTTATTATAAGTTCTAATATATTAATATATAATCATAGTATTTAATTAACATTGATCAAGAATTAATTTATAATTAATTAAGTGATCAAAAGGAACTAATTAAATATGGACTCTTAGATATATATGTGTGATGGGCGAAGTTCATTTAGGTTGGGCTAAGCTTTCATGGATGGTCCATGGAGTGTTTAACCCATGGATCATATAAAATGAAGGGTCATGGGTTTAACCCTAATCTCCGCACTATGTAAAGATGTCCTTGGTTGGTGAAATTGGCACTAGTGTGGGTACACAAAAGGGCAAAGCCAATTTCACTAGAGATAACCATAGTATCCTTATTCTCAAGGTTATTCCAAGTGTTCATGGTGTTATGTGAACCATTTGAGGTGTCACACTTGGGGAACTAGGCACTCAAGCTTCATGAAGACAAGTTACATCAACAAGGTGTATTCTAACTTGTTATATTACCCAAGTATCAAAAGATTGTATGTTAGATAGGGTAATACCTTGGAAAGTTCATATTTGCATGTATAATAGAGAAAACATAGATCCAAGGTAGTTAGGGTTGCATGTACACCGTAGGAGTGTTAGAATGCTCAAAACCCAACAGTGGTATCCGAGCCTAAGCTTGTTTTCTTGTTATACTTGCAAAATTGGCTGGAAATTTGAATTTTTGTGCTGTCTGCTCAGCAGACTCGCTGAGTCCATGAAG